AAGAAGAAGAAAAAAAGAACCATCAACTGCACGCTAATTTGGCAAGAATAACCTCCTTCACGCCGGCCAACGGGGCTGAGCAAAGCTGCGGGGCGAAACGCGTTGGCGAAACCGGCCCCTATTAAAACCATCAGCCCCCTCCAAAAAAAGGAGGGGGGGGGAGGGGAAAAAAAAAAAAAAGACCCTAGTAAAAGCTAAAAGGGCCTTGGGCCTCTCGTTCTCTTAACAGCTCTCATGTTGAAATGCTCTTCTTAAACCAGGAAGGAGCCTTTTCTCATTGCTGCTGCCGAGAGCGCAGTATCAGAAGCGCGACCGCGGCAAACCGGCGCGCTGGATATTGAAATGCCACCACATTGTCTGACTCCCCCTCTTGTCTTTTTTTCCAACAGAAAGTATCTTTCCTTTAAGCGCCCAGCCATCATCTTTGTGTCTGAGATGCTCTCCCGTCTGACAACAGCAATTTGGAAGAGTTAACTTTTATCGTTCATTCTGCTGTGTAACTTTCCCCTTCAAATTTCTTTATCTGCCCTCTGAGCTCATCTGAACTTTCATGTTCTCCCAGCATGCAGGCTTGCATTCAAAACTATGTCTAATAGACCAAATAAGAGGTTAATAAGAAGTGGCAACAGAAAGAAAAAATACAATCCCTGGTAACTGATAAGAATGACAGTGGCAGCCCTTTATTGTTTGTCTTCAAATATAGAGTTAAAGATCTTTAAAAAACTAAATTTTGACGCCTTTGAAAAGAAAGAAGCACAAAATAACAACAGGGGGTTATTGCCTGCCAGCCACAGGGGAGAAGCTCCATAATTCTTATTCTCCCTTTTGAAGGCTGTTAGAAATCTGATTCAAAAAAGCAACAGCAGAAGGAGAAAGCCTCTTGAGGCTATCGCCATTTCCTGTGATCATGCATAATGCGTTTCAAAAGTGGGTTTTTACCAATTCTGTTGATCAATTGCACCTCCTTCATATTCCCTCTTTTTTCTGCTGTGTTTACATCTGATGTGACTCAATGACAAGCGCTGTCTGAGACTGTGAAACAGACCTGTCATGTTGATTTATGGGCGCATCAAACCACGACTTGTCCAAACTGAAGCTCGCAGTTCATTAATTAGAGAGTTGTGACTTTGAAGTCAGCTTTCAGACTGTGGTTTTTAACATTTGGCTTAATTTATATGCTCTTGAATGTGGATCTCTAAGGAAAAAACTGAAATTCCCTTCTTGTCTTTGAACTTCTTTTGACCGCACAATAATCATTTCTTTGTCCAGAGTGATGCCTGCATCCCAGAGTCATTAACGCGCATTGAACTGCCACTGATGAGTAAGCCCTACTGAATTAGAAAAACAGCCAGCAAAACAAAGCTGAGAGCATTCTGCACAGTGATATCTCACAATTACATGCCTTCCCTCCCTGTGCCATTTCCATTTTAATTACTGTTAGTCCTTTAGATTTACATTTTAGACACTTTTTAATCTGTTCCCTTTTTATTATAGTGGCGCCCGTAAGCGCGCTATGGTTAAGGTTGTGTCAACGTTTCCATTATAAACCCCTATTTTCAGGGGTTTATAACTCAGCTGGAAAAATTCATTCTGGCTTGAAACTTGGCACAGGTGGCACCATATGCCGAAATTTCGGGGGCGAAAATTTGGCCGGACTGTATTTAGGTGTACGTCGAGCACCACGATGACAAAGCGAGGCACAGCAGGGCGTCAGGCAGCGCCCTGGGCCGAGAGGCGGCTTTCCAGCATCTACTCGAGCCAGCGCTGCTGCCAGGTTAACGTTAAGGTCTTCAACTATCACTTCTTGTCACTACAGGGGTGGGTGGACTCGGTGCCTTAAACGTGAATGTACTTATAGTAAAATTAGAGTAAAATTAAATTTTCGCACATCAAAAGCAACAAAGTTAGAAAGCGGCAGAGTGTTTTTGAAGTAGAGGCATAAACCACCCCTGGCCTGTCCCGTTGCACCCACGGGTGCAGCGATACCGGCGCAATGTCTCCGGAGCCCGTGCAACGCGGCGTGCTTGCCGGTGTCACAACAAACGTTGCTTAAGCGCGGTCCTTCTGCTAAGCCAGTGCTGCGAAGAACGCGCCATCAGAGCCTGGCCGGCTGGAAACGGCAAGTCCGAACTCAAAATCGCTTGGAATTTCACCCATCCAGAGCGCACAGCGCCATATCTGGGCCCGCTTCCTTCCCCCCTCCCCTTTACACCATAACTTCTGAAAACGCTCTCCCAAGATACAAGTCGAGATGCTCGTTCCAACGCTCATACCGAACATCAAGGCATGGTCCCCTGCTATAAAATATGTGGCAGCGAGCAAATGGAAAGCACAGGAAAGTAAAGGCAAAAACAGGACAATAACTCTAAATCTGAAAGCTGAGACCTGATAGAGTCAGTGCAGTTGTGCAATCATTTATAAGATGAATGACAGTTTAATAGCTACTAGACAGTCCTCTGGGATCTGTGGTTTGAAAGTAAAATGGGTATTGTCTGTACCTCTTTAGGCTGTTTTCCAGCATGTTGTTGCTGTAAAAGTTGAAGCTGCAACTGTTCCTGTTGTTTCTTATAAAACTCTTGAAGCTGCTGCTACAAAGAAAAGGAGAGATGGTAAGTAACAAAGCGGAGAGGCAATTCAGCATCCCTTTTGGTGTAATACACAAACTGTGATTTGAAAAATAGCATCCTTTTATCTGTAATGGTCTGACCTTTAGTTTGAAACTCGACAATAAATTCAGTGCACACTGACTATTCTTGGCATTATCGTTTGAAAAGTAATCTCCAAAATGAACTGATGAAAAACATACCATTTTCTACACAAACTAATTAAAATAAGGCATGGAATGACCTTTGATTGTAACAACAAAGCCAAAATGCCCTTGCTGAGAGCCTGGCGAATCTCTGTTGTGATACATATGCGCTTTCTAAACGATAGGGTTTGGCTGTATTAAGCGTTGTTCAATACACGCACAGACATCCTGGGAAATACTCCGCTCCTGCCCGCTGCCCAGACGTATGCCGTCCCGGCATCCGCCGGTCCGGCCAGGGAGGGAGGGAGCGCGACGGCACGGGAAGAGCACTCAAGGTCAGTTTACAGTGGACTTTCACATCAGCCTGGAATTAATGAAGCCGTGTTATGCCGGACACTGAGATAACAGCCTGGAAATTGTATTTTGTGGGTAGCAACCTGTAGCTAAAAGGAGGACCAGGCGTTGCAACGGGGCACCGAGAAAGGCCGACGCGCTGCGGAGCCAACACGTTGGTTGAAGTTAAATGGATTAAGGCTGGCAGACCTCTTCAACTTTTATGGCCGCCGTTTCAATAGCCCTTTACAGTTCCAGATGGACGTAACAAGGTCTAAAATGCAAAGTACCCCTCTACTACCTTCTTTCTTCCAGTTAATCACGGCATACCGTGTTTTCTGGGAGATGCAAGCAAAAGCAACGGGGACATCTGCTGAAGTCCCGACGCTTCAACATGCATCTTTATTATTTAGCTGATCTTGGAAATGCTCCTAGCACTGCTCCCCGCATTCGTTTCCAGAAGCTATTTCTGGCTATGAAAACAAGAGAGCAGTCAGTGCGTTCCCGAGCACGATGACCTGGGTACGGACCCCGAGACCTCGCAGCCTTTCCCTCCAGGAACACCTAGGGCGGCGAAGCCCTCCGCTATCCGTAAGGGCCATCGCAGCAGCTGTTAAGGAAACAATTACCTGTTGAAGCATGAGTGCCTGCTGCTGCTGGAGCAGGACTTGGAGTTGCTGGGGAGTTAGCACTTGTTGCTGGAGGATCTGCTGCATTTGCTGGGGAGTGATCACTTGAGGTGTCATCATAGCCACCGACACGGGAACCTGCAGCGCGAGCAGAGAGCAAACGGCAAGTCAGGAAAAGCCGCGCAGCAGCCACGGCACGGCGCCTCGCCCCGCGCAGGGCTAAGCCTAAAGTCGCCCAAGGCGAGAAGGTCCTCCAAGCCCACCGCAGCAAGCGCAGAAGTACCAACCGCATTTTCTCGGCGGCTAGCTTCCCTTTCTGCTGAACATTACGGCGGTGGGAATACTACTTTAAAGAAAGCAACGTAGCAAAACCTGTTCAGATGTATTTCTTTTTACAAGAAAGTGTCAGCCTGGCCCCTTCCCTCCCACAAAGCCCTTCCCTGCCATACAGAAACCCAACAACCGCGTATCCCATGCTGATGGGACCTAGACCCTATCACGACAGGTTTTTAAGCGAATTGAAGGAAGGCTCAGTGATGTGAATAACGGTACTACACACTCCTATGCAGTTTTAACAGAAAGGCCCCCACTACGATGTCTTTACCGTTCCATATTCACCCAGCATACAGATGTCTTCCATTCTTTCATATTATGTGAGATACCATTAAAAGCCGCTTTCCATGACATTTCAGTGACAAACAGCTACAGTGATGAACTTGATAGCATTTCATATTTGCAACTGTTAACACGTTTCTGCACGGGCATCTTTGCAAGGAACCTGTACACTGTATCTGAAAGGATGATGTCTTGTTCAGATAAAACACTGACATTAAAATGACAGGCTGTCTTGGCCAAGGTTACACAAATTGTATTCAAGCGGATACCTAATGACAATGCTATGAATTCTGCAAGCTTTCTAGAATGTAATTTAGCTATTCAAAATAATCACTGCACTTGTGTTTAATTTGCAGACTACATGAGAACCATTTTGTCAGTCCTAGTAATGCAAGAAGACTATTTCCCTAGAAACCCACCCCTCTACCCTCCACCCCAAAAAAGGGAAAGAAAAGGAAGAGAAAAACAATAGAGGAAAAGACAAAACCCATACGAGTTTTAACAGTAATATTTAAGCACCTTACTTTTCTATAGTTTCAAATCAAATATGTGACAGCACAAACCTAAAAGCAGTAAAGGATATACTTTGCTAAAAAGGATCTCCTGTCATCTCATGTATTACAATAAAAGGTAATAATATGTTTAGCACTTTTTCTGTGCACCACTTTTTTAAAAAAATCAGCAGACAATAGCTGATCAGAAGATAAAAGAGTCTAAAAAAAAAAAACCTTCCAGTGTAGTGGTAAGCAAGAGAGAAATGCAGTATTAATTTTATGTAACATAATGTCTTAATATGCAGTTTATCTTGACTTTTTCACATGATTTGTCCTGTCATTTGCATAGCAAGCTCTCATTCCTAATTTCACAGTCATTATGCACTGATGTCCTGATTTCTCAGCATCACTAATTTTGATGAACTAAAAATGGTTCCTGAAGGTCAGATTCATGTACACTGCACATCTTCCCATGTTGTTGTGTACATGTTGTGGGCCAGGGCCAGGCACCGCTTTGAAAACGTTTGTTTGGCCAAAAAATAAAAAAGATAAATAAGTCTAACGGTTGCACGCTTCCGACACCCCGTTAACGCAAACACTGCGAGGTCCGCTGTGATTTCCTGGTGTCACAGCGCGTCACCACGTATCTAACGCGGTCCACAGCCGGGCAGCCAGGCGCGAAGCCTAGCAAAATCGAGATTTAATTACGGGTCAAACTGCAGCCCCCACCGAAGCCAAGGGCCGGCCACCCTCCCGCTGCCTCGGCTGGGAGCGGGCTGGCGGGTTTCGTGCGTTT